GGAATTTTAACTGTAGCTCCCAATTATTTATCATTTTTAATCCTGTTCATATACTTCTTTTATCGCCTGATATAAAAAACAGCGAATTGGTTGTACTGTGTTTGGATCGCCAGTATTTGATAGCTGTTCGATGATATATTAGCAGTTTTCGTTTAAGGTTCGATTGGGTTGGCAACTAATATGAAAAATATTATGCTGTTACAATGGGCAGTACCGGATTTTGACTCTCCAAGCAATTCCTTATTTATGAATTTGAAGATTGGAGACGATACGGTACGAAAAAGCCGATCCGCTGGACAAAGTTCATTTGGCACACTAAGTAAAGTCGAACCTCTTCTGAATGAGGCAACAGTGGGATTTGTTGTGATTGCATCCCAAAGTTTTAAACGCTGTTATCGTTTAAGACTATGTACTGGTTAGGTTATGCGTATTGGTTGTGGGAGTTTTTTAGTCCTTGACAGGTCATGAGAAAGGTCGAAAAAAGACTCAAAAATGAAATTTTCGAAATCTCTTACTCTTTATTGATACTTCTAGAAGTGTTAGCAAAGTACGCCGATTCTAATTGTTTCTTAATATTGCTCGTATTGCGGTATTTTTTAGATTCGATTGTTTTGTTGTTTGTCTTTCATTTTTGAAGAGTTTCTCCCACAGTTGTCACTAATTCCAGATGTCTGTTCCACCGCAGAATCTCAGCGATGGAAATGTTGCAAGCAATTTTTTTCAAGGTCCTTCACAACCGCAGTCCGGCGGCCATCATGCAGGACCACCTCAGATGCTTCCAGAGAGTATCTTAGAAGAAAAAGCTCGAAAATGGAAACAGCTTCAATCAAAACGTTATGCAGAGAAGAGGAAATTTGGTTTTGTTGATTCACAGAAAGAGGAGATGCCTGCAGGTACTGTATCAGTTTAGCTAACTTCTTTCTGCTTTTGATACATTTTGCCTGTCCCTATTATTATTATTACTATTTTTTCTTTTTTTGGGATTTTATTGAGCTACTTTTCCAGCGCACGTCAGGAAAATTATTCGTGACCATGGTGATATGACCTCGAGAAAGTACAGGCACGATAAGCGTGTATACCTGGGGGCTTTAAAGTACATGCCACATGCAGTGTTGAAGTTATTGGAAAACATGCCGATGCCTTGGGAACAAAT